CTTCTAATCTGTGGAAGATGCAAAAAAAAAAAAAAGAAACTCCAACTGGTAAACAACCTATTACACAGAAACAGAGTGTTCACACCTTTCTGTGTGTTTTGTGCAATTCATTTCAAGACTGGCTGAAGGTGTTGCTCTTGGTCCCAGGTGAAACGTTTCAAACTATTATAATAATCCTTCCATTTGCTATAGAGCCTTATCACATCATCGTAATCTCACAGGAACATGATGTGAATGTCCCACAAACATGATGTGAATGACCAATGTTTTGGCCAGGACACTGAGAAAAACACCCGTCTTTTTAAAATAGTACAATGGGATCTGTAACTTCCACCTGAACAGGCAGTCAGGACCTTGATTTAGTCTCACCCAAAGGACAGCACTTCCGACAATGCAATGCTCTTTCACTATGGTATCAACCTAGATTATTACTTGAAAGTCCCGAAGTGGGGCTTGAACCCACAACCTTCTGACGTAGACATGAGAACGCTACCAACTGGCTAGCTGACACCTATTGTGCAATGGTGTATAAAAACATCTATTGATACGTATGTGTTACTTCACACACCTTCATAAATAAATGCATAAAAACTAAACATACATTAGTATAATTTTACCAAACAATCATTTTTAAAGACAACATTGCTGTATCCTATAAACTTCAAAGAAGACTTTGGCAGCTAAAGAGATTATCAATCCTTTGCATACCAATATAAAGATGTCTCATATTCTTCCTGTAATACTCAGCAATTTTAAAACAAACCAGCTTAGATCACATCCATAGAAGATTTTTTATGCATTTGTTTTGTATTTTTTAGAAATAGTGGGAAACGGGTCCATGCTTGAAAATGTAACTACTGTACATTATTCTAGATTCAACATTCCTCAGCTGTTTATAAATCAGTCACTTTAAATTGATTCAAGTCATGTAACGCTTTTGCTACGATGTTTAATTATTTCTCAAGTTTGCAATTTTAACAAAACTGTGTGGCCAGCCTGATCGCCTCCAAAAGGCTGGAAAATGTAAAATATGTTGAGAGAGCGAATTCTCGACCTCAAAAGGCGATGGAGAGAAGCCTTTTGGTGAGAGTTTGTGAAGCAGTTCTACAGATTCAGCACCATATAGCTTACAATTTTAAAAAGATTAATAATAAATTGATAATAATAATAAATTGGTCACTTAATCCACGATTGTTTGTGGGACATTGCTGTCTGTAATTGGCTGCTGCATTTCGCCCACAACATATACAGTCAATTCACTTTATAGAATATTCTGTGAAGTGCTTTGAAACATCTCAAAATAGTGACAAGGCACTATATCAAATGCAAGGATTATTATTATCATGAAAGACAGTTCTTTCATAATAGGAGTTTAAAAAGTGCATTTGTCTGAAAGCCTTGTGGTTCTTATCAAAATCCATCAAACTTTTTTTAAAAAAATAAGGCATACTGTGTTGCGCACCATGACCGGCACTGCCTACCACCACCTCCACAATATTGCCAGACTCCGCCATTGCCTCACCCCTCAGACTGCCGAGACCCTCACTCACGCATTCGTCCCCTCAAGGCTCAATTACGGGAACTCCCTCCTCATCGGCCTTCCCAACTCTTCCCTTCACAAGCTGCAGATCATCCAAAACTCTGCAGCTCGTGTACTCTCACGCACCAGGTTCCGTGACTGCATCACTCCCACCCTCGCCCGACCCCACTGGCTCCCCATCCCCCAGAGGATTGAGTTCAAGATCCTCATCCTCACCTTTAAGGCCATCCATGGCCTTGCCCCCTCCTACCTCTCTGACTGCTGACTCCCTATCAACTTGCCCGCGCTCTCTGTTCAGCGGGCTCCAGCCTGCTCCATGTCTCCCGCCCAACCATCGGTAGCCGAGCTTTTAGCCTCTCTGCCCCCACACTCTGGAAGTCCATCTCACGGTCCCTTCACCTCGCTTCCTCCCTTGCTTCCTTCAAGGCCGGTCTCAAGACCCTTCTCTTCGACCGTACCTTTGGTCTCCCTCCCACCTCTCTGCCTTCCCTCACCCCTACACCACCACTCCCCCATGTTCGGGCCCCGACACCTGACTGTTCAGCGCTTTGAGACGTCCGCCCGACGTGAAAGGCGCTCTATAAATGTAATTTTGTTGTTGCTTTCAGATCAAACTGATAGCAGACAATAACAACTTGCATTGATATAGAGCTCTTTATACAGGATAATAGGTGAGCACTACCCAATGGTGGGGTTGGACACCAGACCAGAAATAGGTTAAATAAAGCACGATATGCTAAGAACCACATTTTGAGCCATTGATTTCGCACAAAATCCACAGGGAATTTCTTTCAGACAAAATTGCACATATTTACCTTGATTCCCATCCATGGATAACAAACTTTATACCAAACTATTCATGCACCTTGGCCTCAAGAGATGCACCAGAAATTCTCAGCCACTATGGTGAACATTCTCCCAGCCAAGATTCCCATCAACAATTCAGAAACGGAATGCAATTTTGCCTCTGTACTACTCTGCTCAACTACAACTACACAGTCACTTCACTCTCTAGTAAATGTACTTCTTTACAACCAATATTTGTCAAAAATCATTACTATAAATTCAACATTATTATACGACACTCAATGCTGTACAGATCAAAATGCTAAGGTTTTTTTTTTAAAAATGCTAACAGGTTTGGCGTCATGAATTAAATTACAAATTAAACCATATCGCAGCTCTGTAACCTAGTAATTCAACTCATCTTTCTCTTCATCTCTCTTGCTGGCCCTCTCAGGGCAGCAGACATTCCCTTGTGAACAGTCATTCTGAACCCAGGGCATCGTGCTTCAACCACTTTTGACACTGGAAAGCGTCCAGATAAAAGAAACCTTCTCCAAACATTTTTGGGAAATTTATATCACTGAACAGAATACTTGCTGGAAAATTCAGACAAACTGAATTTAATCTTACACAGGAGTAAGACCTTGGTAACCTCCAGGTGCTGGGGCTTCAGTGAGTGGACTGGTGTGGAGCAGGATAAATACTGTATTGTAGTTTCCCTAATTATCCTCTATGTATTTAATCATATGAAAGCATATGTGCATTTATGTTTATTATTATAGAAAGAATCAAAGTAAAAGTAATCAAGAAACTGAGATCCTCTTTCCTTAAGAACTAACTACGTGTAAAAACCCATAACACATTAGACCAACACTTCTGTTCTTGTGTGAAAACCAAGGAGGATATTCATAAACTGATTCATACAAACTGTTTACACAGACTACAACTTGATTTTATAAAGGTACCACAATCATTTACTTACAAAAATGTGCAAAACCCATGGCAGACAGACAAGATATAAGACATTTTTGTAGCTGACTATGGACGTTGTTAAAGTAATAACTCTTTAGGTGATCTTTGCGAGCAGCTAGCAACGTAAAGTAATTAAGAAATTATACCGTACGATTGTTGAATGCTTTAATCCTCAGCCTCAATGGCAGAGAGGAAGCAATGGTACAAGAGCAATAAAAGACCATGAAAACTAGGATACAGGTTAGAATAGAGCGCATATAGAGTGGAACCAAGACATAGAGGCATTGGGAACAACGACCTGGAGATCAATCCACTGAAGGACAGGGAGCCAATGGCGCACGGTAAAGACTGAGTGATGAATGTAAGATGACTCTGATCAAGAGTTGTAGTTGAAGTTTGTGAAAGGTGGAGCCAGGGAGGCTAAGAGAAATTAAGTCTCGCTGTGCCAAAATAAACTTGATAAGGATACTGTAAAAGGAGTGGTTCAGAGATCTCAAGCATTAGCATGAGAAATATGGGGTGCCTTGCATGAGATCATTTATCTCTGAAGTACTTTCTCGAGCTTGCCCCATTTATGTTGCGGTTTTCCTGCTCGAGTGTATTTTTCAACCTCAGTCTATCACGTGTTGAAACTCTCGCATCTGATTAGCAAAAGCTACTGAAGCCCTGTTGGGCATTTCTGTAACATAATTCTCACATTGTAGTCATTTCATGAAATATTTTTTTAAAAATCAAGCGGCAGCAACCATAAACTCAATAACCCCCAATAACCTCATCAAGGGAATCTAAAATTAGCAGAACACGAGGCATGTTCTGGGGGTGGAGGTCAGGGTGCACACCAACAGTTCCAATGCAGCAAACTGGGAGACACAATGCAGACATCATATCCAAAACTTTTCTTCTGATAAAGGAAGAGTTTCTGAAATATTCATAGTTACATTGAGCTCTTTTTGCCCATCAACTTAGTCAGTAAAACACTAGAGCAGATGCTATAGTGTGATATCAGCCAAGGGGATTTCCTAGTCACTGGATTTGCATGTACATGTGTTCATGTATGTGTTGTTCCTCCCTTTTCAGGTCTCAGCCAAGCAGTTACTGAAATCTAGCATCCCTGATGGTTTACAAGAGCCATTTAAGAAAACAGCAAAACTATGAGTAAAAATATTGCATCAATCACACTTATGAATTGTAAGAGCAGGAATAAATAGAATAATAATAAGCCTTGCATTTGATATTTTTGATAGAATGCTGTGAGACTTGCACAGAAAATGTCAGTTCCCAGGTTGCCCTTGGTTGCAATAGTTTTAAAAGTAAGCAACATTTGGACATAAATGTCAAAGAAGAATAGTATAGACTGATCTTTCCATTAATAACATTGTGCAGCAATTCAGATCAATGCAGCCCTCCCCTTTAAAATCGTTGCAATTTTAGTATTTAGTGGGCAAAACCAAAACATTTTAAAAACTTCTAAACACTACATGAACAAAATGTCTAAATCCCTACTCTCCTCATAAAATTTATAAAATTAAGAAAATAAATCAATTACAGAACTTTGCCTCAAGAGCTGCTAATTAAATGATGAAAATTCTTAACAAATGCAAGAAAAACGAAGGTTAACATCACCAAATATCAATTTGTGACAAAACAGCAGCTCATTTTCTGACACAAATTAAATGTGAGGAATAGAAAAGCCCAAACTTACAGTAAATATCCTCCTCCCTGTCCGATCGAAAGTAACGCAGTAAACAGATGACAAGTGCCCCAGAATACGCTTGTGCATCTTCATGTGCAGATATACAGCAGTAGGAACAAGTTGACTAAGTCGAAAGCTCCCAGTAAGTTGCCGTGCACGAACAGTATCCACTATTAACAAGGAAAAAGAAAAATGTTTATGCTCTTCAAACAAAGTTACTTTGTGGAGCAAAAATAAACAAGTTGACAATTACAATGGAAAACAGCATCACTTTAATTTGCAACTTCTATTCGGAATTGCATACTTTACATACAGCTCATTTGAAGTAGAATCGCAACATTGTTATAAACATTGAACAGTTTCACATAGAGCCATATTAAATGTATTTATTTAAAAAATGGTGCACACTGTAAACATTTTGATAAAGGGATGAAAAAAACAGAAACTTTTCAGAATCTTGAACCAACGAACCGACCAACAAAGCTTTTGGGTGGGAACAGCTTCTCCGGTGGAACCAGCATCAACAACACACTATTCATTGATCAGCCCAAGATCATTGCTCAATACTTGAAACATCTTGAGGGCCGTACTGCAGAACAGAACCTGCATGTTCCCACACTGTTACAAGTAGACAGTTCCCCCTACTGTCCTCGAAACATACAAGTAAAAGTTATTTGAATAAGGGAGTCTGGATGAGGACTGATTATATATGCTTGACAAGTCGATAGGTGTGATTTCACAATTCGTATATTTAAAAGTCCAACAATGTTAGTGTTAATTTGTCATGAGGTCCCTTTTACAGACCTCAAACCGATCCCCTCTCATCACCTCAGTTCTAGAGAGCATAATCCCTTCTATTCCTAGCGAGTAAGATGGCTGAGGAATAGCCATTTTCTCCACCCTTTTCATCTTAAAATTATTGCTGCAATGTTAAGACAAGAAACCAAAAAAAAATTTCACAAAACGTTGTGAGAATTTGGAATGCACTGACCCAAAATACCATAGATGCAGAATCAATTGGGATCTTTTAAAGGGAAGTTAATAGAAACTAAGAAGGTAAATGATAGCCAACCAACAAAAATAGTCACTACATTTTACATTAAAAATCCTGTGAAGTTCTTTCAGATGTGAAAGGCTCTACATTGAATGCAAACATTATTATAAGGGATATGGAGAAAAGGGTGAATAACCTCGTCTGTTCCTATGATATCTGGAATAGATTCACAACAAAAGTGGTTCATTCTGGGTTGATTTTAACTCCTTCAATTAAAAACAGATAAGAAATCTGTTTCAGCATAGTGAGAAGATCCAGGAACAGATTTATGAACAAATATTCCATGGGTCACAACATTTTTCCCCAAGAAAAATCCGAGTTCTGGGATGGAGGAGTGTTGTTTGACGTTGGTGGTATGAGATACAAGTGTCTGGGTAAAAATGTAGGCTTAATTTGCCCAATGGCTTTCTATAGTATTCTGAATAGACGGTTGCAGGTCTAAGTTCCACGTCAGGATTTGGAACTCATTTAGTCTGGGCCAGGGTGGTCCAACCCTTGGCTGCTACGGCCAGATTTACTATTTGAAAAAGGTCTGCAAGCTGCACAAGCAATATTTTGTGTTTCCATTTCAGAAACATAACAACATTTACACAGCACCTTTTTCATACTGGAAGGACATCTCAAAGCACTCAACACGGTCACTCGCTCAAAATACACAGAATCACACAATTTTACAATGTAGCCTGTGAAGCGCTTTGAGACGTGTCAACAACGTGATAAGGTACTGTATCATTGTAAGATTACTGTCGTTACAAAATAATCATTTAACAGCCTATGGTCATCAAGACCATCAAAAAAGCACCTTGGCTGCTCTTTTCTTCAACTCCATAATGTAGCCACATGCTTTCAAATGCATAGGCAAAATCTGGATACAATTTTGCATGTTGTATCACTAACATGGCAAAACAACTGGTAGCCTGAAAATGCAACCCAATATTCAGTCTAATTAAGTTGCCAACAACGACTTTTTCCATTGAATGCAACTACCCTCAATTTCCTTTTGTGCCCCAACATCAACAAGTTTGATCATGCAAACAATTATGGTTATCACCACTGCAAGCGTTTCCTTGTAGTTGCTTTTTTTAAAAAAAATAAAAAGCTGAAATATTAAGCCCGTTGAAAACCTAAATAAAAGATACCTGTTCTCCCTTTGACTTAGCTAAACCAGTCACTTTTGCACTTGCCAAATAATCACCAGGGTTTAGTGGGCAGTAACAGGGGACGAGCAAACCAAGTTCCAAAGAAACCTTGGTCCACAAAAATTATTATACATCATTACATGTACAGAAACAACCTAGCAATTGTATACTGTGAAGAAGATTGAAGTGAAGAATTTGTTCAGCTCCCTGCAATTGATCCATATTCTTACACTCTTCAGTCCTGAATCCATTTAAAAATAGAACATTTTCCTTATACCTGTCTCAATTCGCCTTTCTCTGTTCTTTTCTTCCACATTTTAAATGCTGACATTTGCCTACCTTTTTACTTACTTTCCAAATTCCTCAAATTCTTTAGTTCAATTTTGTTCCCTAATTTCTTTCCCACAGGTATGTCTCTCTGCTCCTGGACTGGCCTCCTCTTGCTGAGCTGTGGTTCCACAACAGCTGGTTACCCTCCAGTACTCCTCCCAAGTGGCCATGGGTCATATGCGAGCCTTAACAGTGCATGTTAGTGATCCGCTTCTGTACGGAGCAACATAGCCAAGCCTAATGCCTTCCCATCCAGCTGCCACATACAAGTACAACCCAAGCAGTAGAAGGGTCTTAAAAATGGACAGGATCAGGAACCCTGGCTAGTTTTTCCCTCCCTAAATCAGGAAAGGCAGGATCAATTTAGTCTCTTATGGAGCCTGGCTCAGACCAGCAAAAAGCAAGGACTGAGTTTCAAACCAGAAAGTTCCTGGTCCATAATCTGTAGCTTAACCCATGACACCATCAGTACTTTAATTCATCAACTTGCTCTCGATCCTGATAGAATCGGCATGCATTTCAATACAGTCCTATGTGTTTTTTTTAAAAAGGAAACCGCTTGTGATCTTACCAAAGTGTAGACAATGTGAACCTACCTATACTGGGTGGGCTGCCATAATTGATTGGTGGCTCTGGTGGCCTTCCTCGATGCAATGCCGCAAGTGCAGACCCTTTCCACACAACATGTTTACAACCTGTTTGGGGAAGTAATAAAAAAACAGTATAGTAGTTGTGCCATGAATGCAAAATAAGGAAAATATTTTGCCAGTAAGTCACTCATACTTTTAGTTGTGCGCAGTAAAGATTGCCTTCCTGCACCCAGTAAGGAATGAACTCCAGGAACACTCTGCAAGGTCTCCTTCTCCAAGAGAGGGCCAAGTCGCTGGCATATTCGAAACAGGTGATCTGGAGCTATGTGCCGATGTGTTTTCACCTTTTTAAATAAAGAGAAAAAGATTTCCTGTCAGATAAACTGTACAATATTTCCCTTCAATATAAGCATCAATTATTCTTAATTTCACCAAATTATTTTTCAGCCTTGAACTGGATTACACTTTTATCTTGCAAAACATTTCTCGCTTAGCAGCTACCGATATTGTAGCAATGCTCTACTTCTAAAAGAATTGCTCAAAACAACTTTAAATAGTTTGCAGCAGTCCTTCCAGTGCAGCAGAGGTAACATTTACTTGCTCCTGTATCATAAAATAAGCCTCAACACAATTTACGGCCCTCTCAAGAGATACACAACCAGGAGCTGTTTGGCTGTCACTTTCCCTCCACCAGCAAAAATAGTTTTGATTCAAAACAAACTTACCACATTTCTACAGAAAAGCTCCATAAACATACACTGGAGTGAGTTCTAAGATAATAATGTTGATAAATTGTCTGAGTTTTTCTCTTCCGCTTTATATCTTAAACCCTTGGTGCATTAAATCCCTGTAATTCATTCAATTCTCATCTTTTCATTAGAGGGAGTACATATCCCCAAAAGGCACCAAAAAAAAGGAGCTGGGAAAAATTTCTAAAACAGACTGAAGCCTACTTAGGCCAGAATTATGCAAAACTGCATCTTAAAAGAGTAACTGTATTACTTTATATCAATCTTTAAAATAATCCTTGCAAATAAGCATTAAACTATGCCAATTACCATTTTGTTCTGACCTGTGCTATAAAAGCATCACAAAGTCTCTAACTGTTGTAACATTTTGACGGCAGGAAGAAGGCAATTCATTTCTCCCAACCTTCAACTGCTTTTAAATATATCACCTGGCTTCCTGATCATTTAGCGGTTAAGTGCACAGCTGGAGTTTGGCAATGATCAAGTTCCATGTCAGGACTTGAACTCAGTCTAGGCAGACACTCCAGTGTAGTGCTGGGGGAATGTTACATTCACAGAGGTGAGAACGGTTTGAGACATTAAACCGAGTTCCTTCTCCCTGATATAGAGCTAACCAATGAAAACACACGACCCAGTAGTGATTTAAAGTATGCCTTTTCTGTCCAATTTTAAATGCAAACACACTATTAAGCAGCACACTGAGTGGCAAAAGCAAATGAAATAAAACCAAAATAAGTCTACCTTCAAAAATTCCTCTGCTTTCAATGGAAATGTCTCCAGCTCATTACCATGTAACCTCGTCATTTATGTTAATTTATGCACCACGCTTCCCATTATCACTCACAAAACCGCTGAGCACAACTAGTAACATACCGAACAGATGAGGCAAATCTTCAACTGGTTTTAGCCTCTCAACAATTTTAGAACACTAAAAAAAANGGATGTTTCGGAATTGCCTAGTCAGTGAGATAATCAGTTTCTTGCACACAGTACAAACGGGAACAACCACCTCCAAATTAACCGCTACAGACTAACAGCAAGGAAGCCAAGCAGCTTTCCACGTACAGGAAGGTAAGCTGATGGGATCTGACTTGCTCTATGATTCCACATCTATAGATGTAGAATTGCACACATTCACATAAGTATTGCAAATAAGAGGCAATTTATCCTGTGTATCTCCTACAGTATATACTGCAAAGTGCTTTGAGACATTCTCCTGATGCGAAAGGCACAATACCAAATGTAACGATTATTATTAATTTATCTCTATTTGTTTGCACAACAATTATTTTAAACATATGCATTATGCCATCACAGTATGCAACCACAAAGATCAATAAGCAGGTAATTTGTTGTTAATAATGGATTCATAATATAGCAAGTGCAAAACTCAAGCAAAGTCCAGCCACAAATTCTAACATCAAACTATAGAAAGCACCAAATTCTTCAACTTCAGCCTCATTTCCAAAGTATGTTGTGCACAATGAAACATGCAATAGTGGTCAGCTGTACAAAAAAAACCTGCCCAATCAGCAAAATATTGTTGGTGCTTTAGATTTAAACCTGCATGCATCACTTCTCAGTAAAAAAAAGCACTGCACAATATCCAGTCTTTGCCGGCAAGGAACCCAGCATTTCACCTTGGCACGACAAAATCCTTTACCTTCCACATAGCTGGTTAAGCAACAATCGCCTTTGGCAAACCCATCACAAACCCCCATGATACATGGAGGATAAACTACAAATGCAGTATCTTTGATGTCCATCATTTGTTCTCCCGGTATATATGCTGAGTAGGCTAAGTATACTTTGATACCATTTACAAGGAGTATATTAATGTAACATAAGAAAAATATAATTTTCTTTTATGATTTGGGGATTATCATTTGATTTCCTATACGTTGCCGTGGGCAAAAATAGACTTGTAACTTGGCTATATCAGCACAATTCAGACACCTTGCTAGAAAAAAAACTAAACAAACCTCAAACAAGTTCCTTTAAATATATGTACATAAAAAATACAATTTGAAAATCATTACATAGGTGCCATTTCAAATCAATTCTGAATTTAAAAAAATAATAATTTATGTTCTTTTTGGCAAGGAAATACAAGTTCACTCAACTTCCACCAGCATATTTAGCTGACGCTTGTTAATTAGGCAACCTGGTTTACGTATCCTATAAATACCTGGTTAGAATGATACTTTTCAAAGAAAAAGGTGAAATCAGAGGGAGCATTCGATTCAGATAATTCCTGCTCTTTTGAAACATAAAATATCAACAATAAAATTACACTACTGATGCTTTATAATCTATTCACATTACACTTAAATTATCAGCAATCTGCAGTTGTCAGTACAGCAGTAAAATGTACAGAAAAAGATGCAGGTTTCATTCCTAGTTTGTGCCGAGTAAGCAAACCCTTACTGGCTACAATTCTACTCGGCACTCAGGTAAGGAGAGGTAAAGATCAGCCAGAATTTCTCCTTCTGATCAAATCCACTTTACAGTAAATTCTGTGAAGCGCTTTGCGACGTCTCAACAATGTGATAAGGCGCTATATCAAAGGCAAGGATTATTAACTAATGGAGCCCTCTGAAAAATATGCGTCGACAGTAGTTAGGTGATGCCTCCCGCAGTCACTTAGCCTCCCAAGATTCACTTCCCCAGGCTCACACATTAAGAATAGTCATGAGGACCAGGTACCAGCACCCCCACGGGCAGTACCTTACTGTATCTTTGGGAAGAAGAGGAAAAAGCTGGCAAAAATAGAGCAAAATAATAAGTTGCATAGTTCAACTGATCTTAACAGTAATTTGTAGCAAAATGTTCTAGGGTAGCCAGTAGGTGTACTTAGAAAGTATAATAGTTTAAAACCCATTATCATTGACAATCAAAAGCAGATGAAATGAATACAGATGCAGCAAGTTTGAATACAGTGCAAATTCAGCAGCACAACATTGAATCAAGGTTGCCTGCTCAGATGGACAGTAAAGATCCCTGGCACTAATCGAAAACAGAAAGGAGTTGCTCCCTGGATTCTGATCAACAATGCCCCAAATGAAATTCACTTCCCAGCTCTTTGTGGGACATTGCTGTGCTCAAATTGGCTGCTGTGCTCACCTACAAAATACAAACTTTACAGTAAGTTTTGTTTCGTGCTCTGAGACTTGAATAACCTCCTGACTTGAAAGGCGCTATATCGGATGCCAGTAGATTATTTTGAAAAAAAATGAATTTAAGAGATTAATTTGCAACATACATCTGCCCATATCTGTCAAAAACAGTAAGTCAACCAGGGACGATCAAGAGCAACAGCCTCATCGATACCTTCCGAATGAAGTGACAATGTGAATTAAGAGGAAGTGGGACAGCTAAAAAAGGGAAAATTGAGAAAAATAAACACGCATAAAATCTAATAAATATTTAAAAATAAATGTAGGATAAAATGTTCGTATAATAATTTAACAAAATTATGCATTGTTTATGAAATGTAGAAGTCTGTAGCATCATGTGGAGCTATAGAATTTAAAATTGAGCTGCTAAATGGACAGGCACCACAACAGCCTTTGTCCCTCCTGACATTTGCGGCAATTTATTTTGCAAAACCATGTGTGTCGATGGGGAAAAGTTTCATGTGCTTGTAGGTTGATAATATTGCACAAAGTAACAATTTGGATACTTTTTAGCGTTCTGTCACGTTAACAGAACACACAAGTGAAACAGGAAGCGCTACAATATCAAAAGATAGCACATTCAATCTTATTGAAACTTGTACACTCTTAGAGGAAAGTGCTAAAAGGTACGGATTTACACGCTGGCCTATCATTTGTGCAAACTTTGGTTTTATAGTCATCTGAAATGCTAAATGAAATGGCTACTATAATCCATTTTCTTTAATACTTTTTCAGTATTACTACTATAAAATGCTACAGCCATATTCAAAGATATGCTATGTTTGTAGATTTCATTCTTTCTGCAAATAGAAAACCAAAGTTACCTTGTGCACATTTCTAATAAGTGTCAAGACAAAGAATATCCCATTGCAGTAAATGGGTACATTTCGTAATAGCCGTACAACTGAATGAAGTAAAAACCAACAGATCTTATCTTAAATTGCATAAAAATTCTATTTTTACAACAATGACAGCAACAACAATTTGCATTCATGTAGCACCCTTCATGCAGGGTAGCATCTCAGCGCATTTTATTTAAAAACTGGAAGATCACAGGCTTTCAGCATGCTTGGAATAAATTTGAAGTCTGAACTTGTTATAAACGTTTGTGAGGCAGAAATGCTACCTAACTCCACAAGTCTTAACCAACAGCTTAATCATTATCAACACTAAACAGGCAGCAGCAGCAGCGAAAACCTAGTTGATTCTCTCAGGTTGTTCCAAATTATCAAGACACAAGATCTGCACTGTATTCCTACAAACAAACCACGCACAAGCCCCCAAAACATTTTACAAATGATTTAGCATTTGCTGCAACTTTTCAATCCGTATCCTTCTTATCCTTTGTTTTAGGGGATTTTTAAGCAAAAATATGAGTCACTGCCAAGTTACCAGTTTTTAATACTCAGTTTACTCAGATAATAAGTACCCATAACTATTCTCAAATTTTAATTCAAATGTTTTTGCCACAGATACACACCTCAATTTCGCAAAATCCTGCTGCCTAACTGTAGTATTTACTCAAGTCAAAGGAATATTTTTCCATAAAAAAGTCCCTTCAAAATCAGGTTTGCCCGTTAGAATCAATGGTTTTACCAAAACCCTCTAGAATCTGCCTACGCCTTACATTTCAAACACCTAAGATTCAAGTCAACACGATATTTTAAGGGAAAATGCAAGGGAAGATGCACAGTAAGATATTTCCAACAAATTTTAAATATAACACGCACATTTGTGTATGTTATGTATGCAGTGTATATGTATACACACACACGATAATTGTGGATATTCTGCTTGCACAGATATCCAGTCTCAAATCCATCTTCAAGTTACACCTGTACTACAGTCCAAGCTACTGTGTACGAAGCCACAAACTACTTTTATTGTATACTATTCCATTGTTGTTTCTGCGGTAAGCAAGATGCCCAGTCCAGTCAGTGCAGCATTTTCATGATCGGTCTTTATCATGCTGCAGTCTTCATGAAGCATCAAATGTGCAGAAATTTGTATGGATTGTGCTTTTTAAGTTTCATATAAACAAGCACACATGCATTTCTGACTATCTAACCAAGTATAGCACTGAAATCTAAAATATCAGAAATATCAAGGTACTGTACTATTTGCTAGAAATTTTATCAAGTCTGCTACAAGCTGAAAATATTCAAAAAGTTTAACACTTATCCTTTTTTTTGCATTGCTTAAATAGCTATCATTCCAACTATTTAAAAGAGTTAAGCAGCATTCAACATTTCACTGAAAAAATACTCAAGACTACCCAAAGATCCCATGGTACTCTGTCAAAATGTACTCAAGAAGCTAGATTTTGCACTAATCAGACTTGAGGGAAAAAGATCAGGTTCAATAGACATTGCAGCATAATTTTCAATATTCTCACACGGAATACAAAGAGTTAATTCGAACCTCCTCAATTGACCCGAGAGGTCAGATTGGGGTCAGCAATTTTCGGAAACCACTATTGTGCAAAAAGGGACTGGAAAGCGAAATACCGTTTCCTCACAGTGATCCAGGTTACTCGATGTCTTTGCTTCTACTTTGGAGGCTTCCAGGAACCACCAGCCATGGAGGTTCAAATTGGCACTTCCAGTTTAGCAAATATTGCATATGTAGTGTATTTCAGATGAGGCCCTATAATTGGCTTTAGCATTTGGAGTGGGGTGGAAATCTGCCCAGATTCCTACTCCTGAACGTTTTCCTATGAATCTCGTTAGAAGATAAACTGCTCTTAAACAGAACCAGCACAAGCATCACGGGCCAAAAGGTTTTTTTCTGTGCTGAAAAACTCTCGACTCTATAAGGTGTATAGGTGACTACAGGATCAGACCAGCTGCAATACTTCCATTCAAATAGCTGGCCAACATTCAGTGCCAATGTTCACACATAAACCATGGCCATTTGTGGAAAACAATTGAGGTACAATTGGTGACCATAGAGCTGCACATTCAGCAGAAGAAATCAAACATCTTCAGGAAAGGTCAGTGTTGAAAATTGACAAAAAAAATTTGAAACATCTATCCTTCAGATGAGACATTAAACCAAGGTACTGTCTGCCTATCAGGTGGTCATTAAAAATCCCATGAAAATGTTGGAAGATAGAAGGGAGTTTCTTCCAGCATCCTCACCAACAATTCCCCCCAACCCCAACAAAATTTGGTCATTCACACATCATGGCTTTTTGCAGGACATCGCTGTACACAGATTGGCTGTTGCATTTGCCTACAAAATAGTCACTACTCTTTACAGTATACCCTGTGAAGCGCTTTAAGAAGTCCTCCCGACATGAAAGGCGCTCTATCAAATGCAATAACTATCTATGTTATTTATTTGTTGCCAATTTCCATTTTTCCTGTAGTCGATTCCCTTTTTTTTTACACTCTCAAGTTATAAGTTGCATTGTTTGTGGTTCCTTCACTAAAAGAAATTCTCTGTGTGGCTTCCAATCAGCATTTAGAAAGGAGTCCAATGACCACAATCTGTAAGAAGGGAATTCTGAAACTTCTCACCCACTTATTTTAAAAATAATCAACCATGTTCATCCTGGAAAAAAAGATTGTAAATGCGCACTTAAATCATTTAACTTCTCCCTCCATGTCTGCAGGAATATCTGTTAAATTAGAATACAATCTGCCTATGAGGGAATATTAAATTCAAAATAATACAATTCAACATTTGGCATCACTTGCCGAAAAAAAGGAGACACTCCACAGAACACAACAGATTTACTTCTATCTGACTGAAGTTCCCCTGCCGGTCCCCCGCTCAACAAATTTGGAAAATCTGGCAAATTTCCCCCAAGACACAGAAGTCTAATTCATCTTTCAAAACCGCACATAAACTTTTAAAGCGCTCTACCTGCAAAGAACAAGCTGGTAACTTTTTCTTCCCCCCCCCCCCCACCCCTCAGCCCCAGAGGGAGAAAATCCTTTTCCCTTTTTGTTTTTTCATCAGGACTTGACTAAAAAGATGTTGGCCTGTTCCTGAGAAGAGGGCAATGGGGAGGGTAGGAGGAAAAGGGTAGGAAGGGGAAGGGAGGAGGTGGTGGTGGTGTGGTGGTGGGGATTAAAGGGGGGGGGGGGGGGGTGACTTGCCTATTAATTTCTTTCAAATTATTCTCACTTATTTGATGACGGCGGAGTCGATAAATGAACGAATGAAGCTTTCAGACCCAATCCAGACTTGCCGAGCTGCAGAAAGTGCTGAGAGGTGTGCTGAGAGGCGAAAGCGCCTCCCTCTGCTCCGCGCACACACACACACACACACACAGACACACACACACTCTCACGACACTGCTGCCCTCTCACCACAGCGAGCGCTCGAGCCGCCCACAGCCGGCGCTGCTCCTGCACAATAATCATGACGTATCTTTATTTCCACTACACTCAAAAGAACTAAAATATTTTTTTTTCCCGAAAAATCACAATGTCGAGCCCCAGGTCCCAGGCTGAAGCCCCCCCCCTCCCCCCCCCACCCCGAATCACCCCCTCCCCCCACTCTTTGCATTTTTGCCCCCTTCCAAAAGATTGTGTTTTTTTTTTGGTGGTGGTAGTGGTGGGGGGGGGGAAGGGGGGGGGGGGGGGGGGAAGTTAATCTGGTTTTCCTGGTAAGATTTTTTGCGGGAGATTCAATTTTTCCTTCTAAAAGTTTTCTCGGTGATATGAATCTCTCACCAAATTTTCGTAGGTCCTGGGGTGCTCTTTCCCCTGCCAGTCTATCCTTTTCGGCAGCAGCTGTGTGTGTGAGAGAGAGAGAGAGAGAGAGAGAAAAAAAAAAATAATAATAATTCCTGGTATCAATACGGTCGAAACCCACAGCCCTTTTTCTCTTTTTTTTTAATTAAAATTAAAAAAAAAAGTGTGTGGAGGCGAGAGTTGCCTTTTTTTTACCTGTTTGCCCTCCACTTCGCCTATCAGGACCTGAAAAGGGAGAGAGAGAGAGAGAGAGAAAAAAAAAGGCGTTGAAATGCATCTTTATCATTAAAAAAAAATAACCCCCTTTTGCACCGACGCCGCCCCCCCCCCCTCTCCTCCCTCCTCCCCCCTCTCCTCCCCCCCCATCCCCGGGGTCTGTGCGCCTCCTCTCTCTCGGCCGCTACCAAACACTCACCTCGGTGGCTCTCCGGCACGGTCCGGCCGCCAGGAACCTGGCGATGAGGAAGTACAGTTCTATTTGGAGAAGGGAGAGAGAGAGAAAAAAAATAATAAGAAGAATAATAATAAAAAATATGGGGGTGTGGATGTGGAGAGAGAGAGAGAGAGTGTGTGAGAGAGAGAGAGAGAGAGAAAAAACAAAGTCATCAGAGAGATTCCCCCCCTCGATGGTGGATGCAAATTTAAAAATAACCCTCACACACACACAGAGAGAGAGAGAGAGGGGGGGGAATGAAAAATAAAGCTGTGCGACCCCCCCCTCCCCTCCCCCTGTACTCACCGGCTTCCAGCTGGGAGCCGGGCTGGGGGTCCCCGGGCATGGCCCCGGCCCCGGCGCCGGGAGGCTTCGTGCTCAGGCGGTGCGGGATCCGCGGGGCTGAGCGGCTCTGTCTCTCGCTCTCTCGCTCTCTCTCTCTCTCTGTGCGCGCGAGTGTGGACTCTCCAGGAAGGAGTCTCCTCCATTCACCCGCACACACAGTACAGCACCGTGTACACACACACACACACACACACAGGGCGGGAGGGGGGGGGGGGGGGGGCGCGCGCCGCCAGCACCGCGGCTCCTTCCGCACCCAAAACAGAGTCCCCCACCACACACTCACTCGCTCACTCACTCACTCCAACCAACACCACCACCACCACCACACACGCCTTCCCCTCTTCTTCTCTTCCCTTTCCCTTCCCTTTCCCTTCCTTCTCTCCCTCTCTCTGCAAAAAAAAATACCACCCCCACCCCTTCCCCTTCCCTTGAATAAAACACCCCCCCTCCACCCTTCCTCCTCCCCCTCCCCAGAGCAGTGTGAGCTGAGATTGCACACACACACACACACAGAGAGAGAGCGATTAGTGGTTTGGTTTTTTGCAGTGCAGTTGAAGCAGTGGGGGCTTTGCTTTGTGTGTGTGGTGTGGTGTGTGTGTGCGTGTGGATGGACGGCAATGGCTGGAGGTTTCTTTTGCTCTGGTGAGAGGCTGTGCTGGCGGATGGATCTGACGCATGGTGTGTGTGTGTGTGTGTGGGGGGGGGGGGACTGGGGTGAGGTGACATTACGCAGAGGATCAGGAATGAGGGAGATACACAATGTAGCCCTCAGCTCAGCCCCTCCGCACTCACTCACTCTCACTCACTCACTCACTCAAACTCGACTGCACGACAAATTGCTACCGTCGACCCCATATTTTTTTTTTGGGGGGTGGGGGGTTGCGCGCAAAAGCTCTGAGCAAGAAAGAAGGGAAGGAGAGAGTAAAGAGAGAGAGAGAGGAGGGAGGGAGGGAGAGAGAGAGGGAGAGAGAGGGAGGGGAAGAACACGAGGGCGCGCACGCAAAGCACATGCACTCACTCACACACACACACACTCACTCACTCCTCTCTCTCTCTGGTCTCTCTCTGGTGTGGAAATCCGCAGCAGTTCATGGTGCGGCCGCAGCGCGTTGCCCTGTCTCCAGCTTTGTCTCCAGGCAGCAGTTCTGCTACTTTGCTGGTAAAAAAATACCACACACACACGCACACGAACCGTTTTTTTTTCTGTTAACATTTTTTTTCACACACGTTATCGTTACCGTACACACACACACACACACACACAAAAAAAAATGCATCGAGGTTTTTTTGTCGGTGGTGGTTTCGGTTGAGACGGAATCACTCCCCAACAGTCGTCTTTGCAGCTTTGGGTTTTGCAAACGTCTTTTTTTTTTGTCGCTTGGTGTTTTTTTTATATATATGTATATATATATGTATACAGGTTACTGGTTTTAAAAAAAATTGCATAACTGTTACCCGGTTATTTGCGAGGAGGAGAGCAAACGAGTTGTGTCCGGGAGTACTGTCGGTGTGATGCTGTGTGCAGTCCTCCCATTGAGTTGAGTGCAGTGTTTATGCAGCATTCGGCCTCCTCACAGGGGACCTGAGACTTCGCTTAAGACCGTGTCGGCGTGAGAGCGAAATAAAGTTGTTCCTATTTTTATGTCGTGCGATTCAAGAGCACACGGTTTGTCCTTTTGCGGTGCATTTTGCACCAGGTTCGGGCAATGGGGTTTTTTTTATCACTTGCACAATGCGGTGCACTGTGTGGAACTCGGTCCGGCAAAAGCGAAGGGGTCAAATTAAACCCCCGACCCCCTCTTTTCCTGGTTAATATTAAATCGGAATTATTCGAATCAATGTGGCCATTCACGTTTCAAAATGTTTTCTTATTGTGGAGTCCTGTAGCTCAGTGGTTAGAGCACTCGCTTTGCAAGTGAGAGACCTGAGTTCAATTCCAGGCAGAGGGCGAAACCTTGGGCAAGTTTCCTTACTCCACACAGAGCCTAATAATAATCCCTCCAAAAACAATAATAAATTGGTCATTTTCAATCTACGACTGTTTGTGGGACATTGCTGTGCGCAATTGGCTGCCGCGTTCGCCCACAAATATACAGTCAATTCACTTTGCAGTATGTTCTGTGAAGCGCTTTGGGACGTCCTCCCGACGTGAAAAGCACTGTATCAAATGCAAGGATTATTATTATTATTATTATTATTATTGCTGACGTGAGGTCATTTATTACCAGTCCTATGTCAGTCGATTACTCCCACCAATATGTTGGCTGTGGAATATTCTATTCATTGCTGAATTGCTTAATGATTCAACATCTTCAAAACTGTATGCCTTTGCCCAGTTTAAGTTGACTGTCCTGTGGTGTCCCGAGTTCGTTGTTGACAAAAGCAGTTGCAATTTGGATTACATTTTCTCGTTGTTACAGATATTTGTGGCCACTCATGAACCGAAAACAAAATACATTGTTATGTCAACAGTTGTTTGTAGATCAAATCAACGTGCACAATACCTGTATTGATACCTTGATGGTGTTGTGGTTTGTTTAAGGTTCTTATCCATTCAAAGTTTATAGCCACATGAAAAAACAAACCTGAGTTGCACATTTACTCGTGTGATTATTCATATATATTGTTTTTGTATATTTACGAATTTTGTTTATTTACAAAGAAGGGTATCATAGATACAATAGATAACGTGATTATTCCCAATATTGCTTGTAAATTGTTGCATTTAAATAGCATTGTCTTTGGAGTTGGGTGAGAAGATCAATTTAAATAAGGTCACTGTAAATCTACAAGTATTTTAGTTTGCAGCTATAAGAAAAACACTTTTCCTTTTTAATACTTAAAATTATAGATTTGCCACCAGCCTAGTGGCCTAGTAGTAGATAGAGAAGCAATAGGTCATGCAGATCATAAGGTGTTCAAACTTCAGTCTTTATCATTATTTTAGCAGTTGGGTGCCACAATTCTGCACTGAACCAGCCATGAGGTAATGCACGGGAGTGTCCACAGATGACCGTGATCGCGTGATTAGGAAAATGTTTCCTTCCAACCGCTGTGACCTGACTCCGGTCAGTAGGGTCCAGCCTGCCCCACGTACCCCGCTCAGCCCGCCCCACCATCAGCGGTTGGGCCTTCAGCCTCTCTGCCCCCAACCTTTGGCCCTAACCATTGGAACTTCATGCCATAGTTGCTTAGCCTTGCTCCCTCCCTTGCCTCCTTCAAGGCAGACCTCAAGACACTCCTCTTTGACCGAGCCTTCAGCCACTCCCATACTCTTTCCCTGCACCCCTCCTGAACCCAATATGCTATCATTTTTTTTCAATTTTGAAAAAAATATTTGTGCCTGTTTTAGGCCAAGAAAATCAGTTGAAGCTCTGTGGTTTGATTTTCTTCTTTTCATAAAGTCATATCAAACACCAGGCTTTTCACCTTTATTATTATAACCGCCGGTGGAACATCATTAGTTTTCACTGGTACTTCTCCAGTGGTACAATAACATTTTCGTTTTCTTATTTAAACTGACTTCAGCCTGTACATTCGTGAAGGCAAGTTGGTTCAATAAACCCGTTCAAAACCTGAGGAATTTCCAATTCCAGGTGCCTCTAATTTTACAGGTAATCAAATTGAGAAACTTCTGCTTCTATCTTTACAGAGCCAGTTATGTGAAACTCTGTTGTAACCCTCATGTCTGTAACCTCCCATCCCCATGTCTGCTCCCCATAATGAATTATAAAATTAACCTGCTCATTTTCTTTCTCTTTCCTACAATATCAGACAGCTTGTGAATAAAGGTCACACACAGAATGACTGGGCCGGACAGTAAACCACCTGATGATATTCCAGCCACATAAGCAAAGCAGTTTATATAGTCTTCAAAGCCAGTGGTTGTATAGCCCTTTTAATTCCAGCCCAATTTTTGTTTCCTATAAAAAGTATGCGGGATATTTCATTTGTTCATTTACGAGCAGTTACCTGGGATGTGGATTGCGGTATCGTTCACTTGGACTATGAAATACACTATTACCGTTTTTGAAAGTGACACCAGTATTAATTCAAATCTGACACCCCAATGCATTGCTAGAGCTCCTTCAGAAGAGATGTTAAACGGAGGTTCAGTTTGCCTGTTTAGGTGAAGGATCCCATGGCGCTATTCAAAAAAGGAAAGAGAGTTTATCCTGATGTCTTAGCCAACAATCTCCCAAATAAAATTGGTCACTCACTTCATGGTTGTTTGTAAATCACTGTTGTGTGCCTATTGGCTGTAGTAACTGACTATAAATACTATACAAATATTTATACTGTACAATTAATATGCTAAACAAATACTTACTATACTTTTACCTTTTATTATACTTCACAGTAAAAATTGTGTGAAGTGTATGAGATGTGTTAATGATGTGATAAGGCCCTATCTCAAATGCAAAGATTCTTATTTTTATCTCACTTTACCTTTGATTTTCCTTACTCATTCCCAACCCCACCCCGCACAACCACCATGCTACACACCATCTCCTCTCACCAATTTTGCTTTTTTTAAAAAAAATTATTAAAAAAAATACGAATTTGTGTTTTGGGATGGAATTCAATTTTGGAAGTGCACGATTTTAATCCGTTATCAATATAACTGCATTCCAAACTGTGGTACATAGAGGTGGCAGTTCTTATCAGTGTTGCTTGTGCAAATAAAGGCAAGTTTAGTTTCATTATATCTGTTATGAAGCACATTTAATAACTACGGTTTCCAATGGTGTAATCTTGAAAGGCGATGTCTCTGAGGGAACGTTACAGAAGATCAAGTTCAACATCCTCCTCGCCTTCAAGGCCCCCCACGGCCTTGCTCCTTCCTACCTCTGAAATCTGCTAACCACATATCAACTTGTCCACTCCCTCTGCTCAGCAGGCTCAGCCTGCTCCACGACCTCCCCATCATCGGCGCTCGAGCCTTCAGCTTCTCTGCTCCCACCCTTTGGAACTCCATCCCACAATCAATTTGTCTCGTTCCCTCCCTTGCCTCCT